ATTAAGTGAATACAATTATTGCAAAAGAAATTGAATATTCATTTGCACTACGGCTTGGTAGTTTACTAACGAGTTAACAAAACTTAAATTCTTGCTTTTTGTGTCTAAGAATACAACAATATTTTAAATATTTACAAATAAAATATTAAATTGGAGATTTTAATTGGAGCCTCACCAGTTTCCGTAGCATTTGAAGATTGTTAAATACTAATTGTTTGTTGCAAAGTCTAACCCAGGCTGCATGGTTGGTTTTCATAGTTTTCTAGGTTCTCTTTACAAAGGTTCTCTATGAAAAGCATCTTAACTCAAATAGCCTCCCATGTTCTTTCTATGTTCAAATAACCAACTAACCTAGTTTAAGCGTGCGATTTCCAAGTGAAGTTACTAGCAAAACCCGAATACTCATTAAAAATCATGTAGCTTGCCAACATCGGGAACATGTAACATGAAAGTAACATGAGTAACATGAAAGATACAGCGCCAATAATTGAATTGCTGTTTCTAAACTTAGATGGTCATTCCTTAATTAAATAGCCCACCAGCGGCCGAGCGGTAAAGACGCTGATCACTGGTAGTTCGGTCCAAGGTTTGAATCCTGCAAACGGGCTGGTTGCATGGGTGTTTTTGTGGTTTTCCATATGTGTAACGTGTATACGAGCCAGTTTCCCTTAGAAAGTCCTCCATGAATGCATCCCTCCCTTTAGGCAGATAGCCCTCGTGTGCTTTGCCATAATTAAATAATCCAATCCAATCCAATCCAATCCTTAATTAAATATAATTGATTTTTAACTTCTACTAGAACTGACGTTAAGAATTGAAGTGCAAATAAATAATATCCTATTCAATCTTGATTAATATAAAATTAAAAATATTTGCACAGAAAAATATTTGCATTCAGACAGAAGATTTTTTGAAATATTTGCAATTACTTTATAAGAAGGATTTATTAATAACCGTAATAATTACTTATTATATTACTGATGATTAGGATTCAGTTCTTGACAATTACATTCTAAATTAGAATTTTAAAAGAATTAGAGATTTTTAAATTAGAATAATGAAAATGCGCTACGCACAAAAATACATTTTAGGATAAAAAATTAGTTGATTTTTTATGTTTTAAAATCTTCTTGAAATTCATTTAATAAACATCGTATCCCTCGTTGTTAATTGAATTCAAGAATGTTGGGTGTCGTTTATATAATTATTATTTACTTGTCCACAGAATCATGCTGACTTATCCAATGCCATTAAGTAGCTGCAGATCATTTCTACATAACCATTGAACTTCCATTAATTCAGTTCTCTAGAGGGTTGTATGTTTATATCATAAATTTGACTTTTATAAAAATGATTATTCTAAATCTTATGTTTCTATAAAAATATACTGTGCTTTAAAAATATGGATGATAGTACCAGCCGCTCTTTCAGCCACTTCAAAAGCATCAGTTTTTTGTTTAGAAATAAATTGTGCAGTTAATGTCATAAAATTCAAATAAACATCAAACGAAAATTCTCAGTTTTAGACAATTCGATTTAAACGAAGAAAAGTAGCAGACGATAAAACGCCGAAGGTAAAAATTTACTCTTATTAAAAAAAAAAAAAAAAAAAAAAAAAAAAAAAAAAGATAGAGAGAAATTAAAAAAAAATATTAAATAATTTATTTAAAAAAATAGCTTTTCGTATTGTACTAATAAATATTTATTATGCATCATTGAGGGAAAAAATGTCATATAATTAATTCTCCGTAAAATTTTACTTGAAATTTAAGGTTAAAAATAGCTGTGGCAATACAGTGTAACAAAAACCCATAGACCACATTTGGCGTTATTATCGCTCAAAAAAAAAAAAAAAAAAAAAAAAAAAAGGATGCCAAATTTCAAAACGCGAAAATATGTAAATTTGTGTATATCTTAGAAAATTTTGAATAAAAAAGTCTAATTTTTTGCAAATATGCTTAAAATACCTACTTTAAGATGGTGGTAAAAATTTTATAGGTTATAATTCAAAATTTTTTTTTGAAAAATTTATAAAAAATTATTTAAAATAGAAATTTAAAAAAAAATAAAACACAAAAAATGTGTAAATTTTATTTGGAATGAACCTATATTTCGAAATATGACTGAAAAAAAATCAAAAAGTTTAATAAAAAATGAGATATAAATAATATTTTGCCAAATTCAATAACATTGAGGAGCTAAAATTTTGAGAGCTAATATTTTAAAAACTACTCGTACGATTTTACAAAACTTGGTATTCTGGCATAATTTGAGTCGTAGAATCGAAATATGTAAAAAAATTGGTACGTTATTTCAGAAAAAGTCCAATTTTGTGTAAAAATACCTATGTTAGAATAGTGCTATATATAAATCTAATATATATTCTAAGTTGCGCTTTCGAGACATGAAGAACGCAATTTGAATTTCATGAATCGCCCCAGTAGAACGGGAGATATAGCACTGTCCCCTTTCTTTTTTTTTTTTTTTTTTAGCAGCGTACATAGAATAATGCACGATAAATAATGTGCAGTTGATTATACAGTTGTTATTATATTATTATACAGTGTTTAAAAGCTGTGCTTTTTGGCTGTGTATTTTTTTGGCTATTTTTTAAAGTTTTCATTAAAAAACACAAAAGGAATTAAATTTTATGATGAATTTGAACTCCTCATACTTCTTTTCTGTCACGTTTATCTGATAAAAATGTAAATTGATATTATACATAATATAAGCTGATGTTTAGAACTTGCATCAAAAATAATTCAGCAAATTCAATTATAACAAATAATATGCAAAATAATTTAAGACTGCTTACGTAAAAAGGAAAAGAAATTGTGTTTTGCAAAAGAAATTGGCTCATATATTTAAATTACTCCTAAGGATAACTCTGAAAACTTTATGCAAGGAAGCTGTTTCAGGGTCTGGGAATGAACTTAAGTAAATTGCCAATTTCTGAGTCTTTAGCCACTTGGCCACAATTGGAACTTGTGTCAGAAAATGAGAATTCTTGTTACTATTATCTGAAACAATTCAAGAACTGTCTAACCTAGGGTTACAGATCAATTCCATTTTTGTATTAGCAGACTATAAACCATTATTTAGTACAGCATTTCCAATAACCAATGTATTGTGCCTGTATGAGGTGGTTTAAACTTCTTTTTATTTGAATGCTTTCATAAAATCTATAGAAGCTTCCTCAAAATCTTCTGCAGATTTAGCATTAATTCATCTATGTGTAAAAACTTTTTCTTTGTACTTAAGGAGGCTCTGAAAGCTGGATCCTCAGTAACTCAGAGACCGCTGGCTGTCTCTTGTTGTTGTTGCTTATACTCACTTGTCTGACATAGTTAGCCCAAGCCCACAAAATTCCTCATGGCAAGGAGTGCTAGATTATGCCTTGGGAACAGCCTTGAGCACCATACAGGTGACAGTGTGATTTAGTTCAGTTCTACCCCCAAATGTGATGGAGAGCACCACAGGGGGACAGGTCCGAGGGTCTCTCACGCCTCTCCCCTTCCACCAAATCACACGAAAATACTTTCGGCTTGCCGCATATTTAGAGTGCCGCCATACTGCACCCACATTATATATTTACAAATATCCCTGCCTTCTCCGAGATTCAAACCTGGGCCCTTCGGCATGGCAGTCAGTGACACTAACTGCTATACCGGATGGGCGGTACCGACTGCTTGCATTACAGATAAGTGAACTATCGGGTCAACAATGTAGTCTGTTCAACTATTTACTATGCCTTATTTTACATATGTCCACCACTGTACAAATGGTTAAAACTGAAAAACCATATTTCATACCAAGTTTGATATTCATAAGATTATGAGCTGGATGTTATTTTTTTAGGTTTCATGATAATTAAGTACCTTTTCCCTTACACAACCTCTACAAAGCCCTTCCTCTATCAGATTTCCGTAAAACTTTAGTTTAACATCTATAATACTATACTACTAAGATTCTGATTTAAATTTATGAATGATGCCATTATCTAATGACTACAAATAAAGCACTTCCTTTTGAAGATGATTTATGGTTGTCTATCTTCTTCTTCAGTTGCACTACAGCCTATCACAGGCCAAGATCGTCTTAACAAGCTTCCTTCAATGCATCCGATTAGTCACTACGGTTTGCCAACGATTGACTTTTAGAATCCCGAGATCTGCCTCCATACATTCTATCCATCTTAAGCGAGGTCTTCCTCTTTTCTTGGTACCTTCTACATTTGCATAGGTCACCATTTTAACAGGGTTCAAGCTGTCACATCTAAAAATAAGTCCCAGCCACCTGATACGATAAGATTTGATGACTCGGACAATATTAGGTTGTTTGTATCTTCTACATATTTCATGGTAAAACAAAATTCTCCATCTATTATTTTCTCTAATTGGGCCATACATTTTTCACAGTATTTTTCTTTAAAAGGATCAGAAGTCTTTCTTCATCTGTTTTTGTTAATGACCAGCATTCACTACCATACAATATGATAGGTCTAATAAAACTTTTATAAAGATTTATTTAGCTTTGAAGTTCAATAATTTAGATGCTAAAAAATTCTTTAAACCATGATAACATCTATTAGCTCTAAATGTTGTTCTATCTGCTACATGAACATATTTAATACACATTTCATTTATAAATGAACATTATTTAATAGTCAAACTATTTTCTCTCAAGAGGTTGGTTGTAGAAATACAAGACTTCTGGTAAAAACCAGACAGAAACTTAGGTAGACAGCTATTGTATACTATGCCAAATCAAATAATTTATTAAAATTACTGTTGTATGATTTGTATGATCATAGGTTTTCAATTAAGTTCATCTTTAAACTGAACTGGCTGTGAAATACTGAATTAATAAGCAAGAAAATAATATATACCATAAAGAAAGTGATAAAAGATATGACATGTAAATACATATTAAGAGTAAAATACATTTTAATAGAGAAAATAAATATATTATTAAAGTAAATGTTTCATCTATGAAGTTACCTCCAACGATTAGTTCCGAAAGCAGGCCAGTCTTTAATAGCATCTAACAATAAAACTGGTTCTTTTTTTGCTACATATAATTTATAAAACTCATCATGTGAAACTGAATTTTTTCTTGAAATATTATGTATAAGCTTTAAGCCTTCTGATTCAGGTGATAGTTTTATTCTTTTTATCTGAAACAAAGCTAGCAATTTAGCATGAAACTGGATATAAAAATAAAATATGAATATCAATAATATATTAAAAATAAGAAGGTTTTATTATGCTTGACAAATATAACATATTTACATAACTATATCATCACTGTTACAACAATAGATATGGTCATAAATAAAAAAAAAGTCTTCATTTTCAAATTTAGATATCATTCAAGAAAAAACAGTTCAACAAAATACTGCATGTACATGGCAAAAAACTGGAATGCAAGCAAGGGGATATAAATGTACCTCACATATGACTAAAACACTCCTAATTTCTGTACTTTTTCACATATTCTAAAATGTTGAGTCCTCTCTCACATAGGCAACTTATTGCAACAGTAAAAATATGATGAGTTTTATGTATACAAAAAGCACTTCCCCATCATGAAATATGATCCTTAAGTTTAAGGATCTAGGAAACTTTATGTTAATAAGCACTGTAATCTCTTAAGCAGAGAATTTACATTTAACAAGCAATAAAACATAATAAATTAGTAATTAAATATCACAATAAACTATAAATTCCTTTCCTTAAATTTATAAAAGAAATTAAAATACACATAGAAACCTGGATTAAAAAAAGTGCCTTATCAAACAATCATATTATACACACTAATAATTTTGATTGTGCACATAATAAGTAAGACTTACTAATTCAGAAGTCAAACAAGAAAAATCAGCGTTAATTTTCAAAATTTCCGCAGAAAATTTTTGTTCTGCGAAAATTTTGAAAATTAACGCTGATTTTTGTTGTTTGACTTCTGAATTAGTATTTACTCAGCGTGTTATTCTGTCTTAAGTAAGACTTTGAACTGAATTGTATAGGTATTGTATAGGTATCCTGAAATTGTATAGGTATCATTTTAAAAGTAGCTTTCATTACAACCTGATAATACTTATTTTCTATTACAGTTATGATATCTAATGCTAATTGTTTTAAAAGAGGAAAGAATGATAAAGATAGAAATATTTAAAAAGCAGGCACTTTAAAGTTAATATTATCATTAATATTAACTTTAAAGTGCCTGCTTACTTAACTTCCTCTTGGTGCCGCGACAAGAAAATAAATAAATAAAATAAAATAAATAAAAAATAAAATAAATAAATAAATAAAACTTGTCTCTCATAAAAATATCTAAACTCTGTAAGTGACTGGTGATTGCAAAACTAAGACTTTCAGTTAGACTAAAATACATAAATCATCAACAGAGTAAAATAAAGTTTATCAGATCAACGTTCATACTCATGTCAATAATGAAAGTATAATATCCTCCTTGGTGTTTTGGTAAAGTATTGAATTTGGTTATTTTTCAATGAAATACAAAAATGCAATTTAGCTTCTAATTCCACAAAATGCTATCCCTAAAATAAAACTAAATCCATCGACTCTCATGAATCGACTCATGAATGAAAAGTTGCTCATGAATTTACACTCACATCTAAAGCTAATTTAGAAAACACACAAATTCCTTTATCAGTAACACATCAGTAATTTATCTTCTGACATTTAGTAATTAATTAAATTACTTGATATTATAATACTCTATACACATTAAATCAGTGAAAATTTTCATTTAAAAACACTGATATTTTTCCCCCATCTATAATTTAAGTGATGACTCATGAAAATTTACATTTAAAAATAAAAATAACTTTCTCAGCTATTAATTAAATAACTAGCAACAAACAAAAACAAGAAAAAAATACACTCATGGATGCTAAATACACATCAGTCTGTGGGGCTCAGGGAGCTGCTGGACAATTTCTTTAATACATCAAAAACTATATTTGGTTCAAATCTTCTCAAAATCAAAATCTAAAATCTGCTCAAGGCACTCACGGTTGGATACTTCTTCCCCTATTTTTTTTCCCTCAGTACTATTTCTCACAGTACTATGTCTGTAGCAGTCTATCACTTAACAACTTTTCCTTTTGACGGCACATCAAGAAGTCCAATTTAGACGAATGTTCACAAACTTTGATGTTCTAAGTGAAGACAAGTGCAAGCCGCACTCAACTTGAAATGATGACGTTCCCGCTTATAAATTTTCATCAGTAATCTGGATCTTCAGCACCAGCATCCTGAATTATTTTCCAACAAGAAAACGGGAAACCAGCGACGATATCAAAACAAAAACGTCAGAGAACTGCTAGTCAGGGAAAATACGGGACCTAGCCCCAGTTCTACTAACACAGACACCAATAAATGCCCCGATGAGATCCTGCAATGCACTTGAACCGGTCCACGCAGCCCAAAGCGGCGAGAAGGCAGTAATAACCTACTTTTCTCCCTTTACATTTCTTTCAGGGGAAAAAAAAAAAAAAAAAAAAAAAAAAAAAAAAGGAAAAATTCCTCTCCTGCCTCTCGTGCAACCACTTTTAAAACCTCGGTGGCATTCAAAATACAGACCACCTCTATATTCCCTATTGGCTGAAAATATTAATAAAATTAAAGCTATCCAATCCAATAACCCCCTTTTTAAAGTAACATGTTCTTTTGAATGCAAACAACAAGGAATGTTTTCACCCAAATTCAGTTAAGTGTGCCACCCCTTAAAGCTATTCGCCTTCAAACGAGCAAACCATACGTTCAGCCCCAAAAGATAAGAGGAGGAAAAGGCAGCTGGCCACTGACCTTTGATCTCAAAGTGGTCGGTCCATAAGAAACAACAAAAAAAAAAAAAAAAAAAAAAAAAAACCTGCCTTTAGCTGCAGAACACTTTCTGCTAGCTTAACAAGAGCTTTGCTGTATTCAAATGAAAAAATGAGTTTAAACAATAATATATAAAAAAATTAATTCCCAAATATGAACATTAAAATTTCACTATTCACTGTAAATTAATATATTAACTAAACACTGTAAAACAATACATAACAATTCTACACAACAGGCGTAAAAACTACTCATTGAGCTTTAGTAAGTTTTGCAGCTAACAAAATAGTTGACGGTAAGATGCTTGAAATACAAAGGTTTCAATAAACAAAAGTTATAAATTTTGGTCATGTAGAAGGATAAATGGAAATACAGTTCAATTAACAAAATTTATTTACACTGATTTTTAAATTTTCTAAAATGATATCAATAAAGAAAACTATGAGAAATTTAGAAATTAAAAAGGAGCTAAATTATTTCATCAATGTTGTATATGAAAAGACAGTATTAAAACCAAAAAACACAAAAAGCAGAATGATAATTTTCTAAAGAAAACAATGTTTAAAATAATTACCTTCTTTGCACAACCTCTTTCTTTTAGGAGCATATCAGTTAATTTTGCAGCAATTTTACTCAAAATATTTTGCATAAGTGGAGCACCCATCAGAAGTCCCATATCACATGCTTTTATTATATCCTAAGCATAAATAAAATATAAATAATTTTTACACAACAATTTTTTATCACTAAAGAAATAAAACATTGAGACAGGAAAATACAATAATACTCTACTAAAGGTTCCTTTAATCCATTGCCAAATTTAACTAGATTCTCTGAAAAATAAATTTTTCCAAATATAAATTCCTTTACATCTACCATTCAAGATGTGAAGACCATTCAGGATGTTTGGTTTGATGTGACTCAATTACAATGAATGATCATAAATACTGAAACAATAGTAATAGAAAGTGTATACTGATATTTTATAATACATTGGCATACACATTATCACAAACTATACTTAACTGAACATATGAGTTTTTCAAAAATGCTCCACAATCAATAAAAATAAGAAACTGAGAAAACCATAACTTTAATTATAAATGCATTTTCCACAGAAAGCAAATTGAGTCATTCCATCTTAAAAATAATTAGTCAACTATATAAAATGAACTTTATACCATGAATATGCACTTGGTGAGGATACTGACCCCAGCAATAAATGGCAGCTATCTATACTACAGATGGCTGAGATCAAAGTAAACTGGCCAAGTCTGAATTGAAAAAATAGTTAACTGTGATACAGATCACATCTATATCCCAGACTGCCTGATGCTGGAAATACAAAAACAGGATCTGTACACAAACAGTATTAAATTCTATAATCACTCATCCACTTCTCTGCTGTGCCTAGTTAATTTGCAAATGTAGTGACAACATTTTGAAAAACTAGACATTTAGCCAAATTGATCCTGTTGAGTATCGTAATGATGGCTTAATGGTAATTTTTATGAAACACAATAGGTTCCCAAATGCAGCATATCAGCATACCACCAATATACATTAGGTAATTACATATATTTTTTCACTAGCCTGGTACACCCTGCAAAACAGATTTACATCAGTTATTTCATCAAACCTTTACTATTCAGACATCTGATTTTCAGATTATTCACTGGCCTCCAAGATCAACTTTCTGAATCTTCCTGAATCAAATCAATGAATTCATGATTGATATCTAGGCTGAATTTGCAGATAATTTTGCAACATGTATGACTTGACTGAATTTGCATGGCTTATAATTGCTCTAGCAGCTTTCCAGCATCTGATAGAATAATGCATTGGCATGTGCTGATTAACATTCTTGTTGGAGATGGGCTGATACTCTTAAGAAGATGCAGGGTTGGTGGCAGAGCCAGTAAAAGTTGTATGACTGTTGCGAGCAGCAGAATTTAGGACAGCAAAATTTTTAGAATTTAGAGAAATACCTAGTTACAACATTTACGTATGGCAAAATTTTTAGAAGTTAGGAGAAACATTGGAGAGTTGGATTTATGGGAGGGCAAGATTTTTAGAATTTAGGGAGGCACAAGGAGAATTTGCACCAGGTAGCAAAATGCCTAGCCTCCAAGATTAACTTACTGAATCTTTCCAAATCAAATCCATGAAATCATGACTGGTATTTAGGTTGAATTTGCAGATAATTTTGCACATGTATGATTTACAATTCCTCTGAGAGCTTGATCTGGTAAATCTGGTGATCTGGAGGGTCTCTGGTGGTGGGATTATGGCAAGATCTGGTAGAATCATGCCTTGTCATATGAAGACTAACATTCTTGTTGGAGTGTCAGCCAAAGAACCTGACAGACCTAACCAAAGAACCTAACCGAACAGAAGAATTTCAGGAATGGCAAAATTTTTAGAATTTAGAGAAGTACCGAGTAACAACATTTAAGAATGGCAAAATTTTTAGAATTTAAGGGAGGCACTAGACAGCAGAATTTATGGGAGGGGTAAAATTTTTAGAATTTAGGGAAGGCACTGGACAGCAGAAAATACAGAGAGCAAAATTTTTAGTATTTAGGGAGGCACAAGGCAGCAAAAATTTAGGAGCCACAGAATTTGCACCAGACAGCAAAATGCATAGCACTTGCACTGAGAAGATGTTTTTGTCACTCACTGTATACTTAATTTTTAGAATGTTTTGTGAAAAAAATGAAAAAAGTTCTGAAACTTAAAAATCTGGACAAATGACATATTTAAGTATTATATTTTATATAACTGCTCTTTTTGATAATAGATTTGAGAAAACAGTTTAACTTTTATCATATCTAACAAGAATTAAACTTGGAGAGATTTGGTGTCTATTATTACTATTATTTTCTTTCTTCCATTTTCTGTTCTGGATATCAGTAACAAATGCTCATAAAAACTTTAATAAAATATAACACATTATTAAAACTTTGGCTAACTCATGTAAATCACACACTTGAAGAAAAACTTCAAAAAAGATGCTACCAATAAAGAGGTCACAATGTTCCAATTTTTAAAAGTAAATTCTAAATTAATAATAAAAAAACTGCGGCATTTTATTTCTTTCTTTCAAATGCAAATTTTTATTTTTTTATATGGCAAACTTTCTTTTCATTTTCTATCCTAAACATATATGTTTTTCCATTTAAATCTGGTTGAGCATCATTATCTGATTAATCATTTGCATTAGCCAGAACACACTTATAATATTTGATGATACATATAGATATTAACAAATAAACGAAACAAACCGAAATAACGAAAATAAACATGAAATTTCAAATCAAAATTTTTAATATCAAAATAAAGTAATATGATAGTTTCACTGGTGAGAAACAAATAAAGTGCATATTAACAATTTATCAGATTGGCATAATTCTGTCTTTCCATCCTCTAACTCCAAACAGAAATGATGACTTCCCTTCTACCCTAAATTTAAGCTTTCAATATAACTAGAGGTAGTGTTAAAGCTGATGTAACAAATGCAGCCATAATGAATGGCTGAATTCAAGAGGGAAAAAAATTTGGAGGCACCCGAGAAAAAACGAACCAGCAGGAAAAGGCCTAGTATCCCTGGGCATCCATTGCCTTGTTGCAGTCTTCTTCAATATGCCTTTCTGTAAAGCATTTTCATTGAAATTATTATACTTTTGACAGTTTTGTCTAATACATAAAAATCTACTCTGAATGTTGCTGTTTGTCTTAAAATTCAAACATAAAAGAATGTGGCTTCAACTGATTTGCATAATAATATTTATTATGATTATGTTTCCTCTTACAGCTCTGTCACATTCAACAAATTTGAGGCAACATCAACCTAGCAGCAATTTTCACCAGAAATGCACTTTTGTAGAACATTTGAAAAGCCGAATTTCATGTATAGCGAATAGCATTTTGGATCATGTTTAGCAAATAGCATTTTCTGCATCTTCAATTAAAATAATTAAAGATGTAGAATGTTGTTCTTTGATATGACATTATGCATATTTCAAACAATCGCTATGAAGATAGAGAATGTATGGAACTACTTTTCATCAACACAAGTGACAGCAGTGTAACATAATATAAAATTACCTTAATCAAAGACTCGGTAAAAACATGCCAAAGGTGTATTCTCCATGTACAGCAATAAATTTATGAAAGTGGTTAAAATGTTTTGTTTCCAAAAATATTAACAGTGATTGCCTTTGTCTTCCACGTCGAGTGCTAGCAACCTCCCTGCAGATTTTAACTATGTAACAAAATATGGGGGGACAAAAAATGCCACTTATGCAAACCTTACATTTGTTCTCATGTTGATTTGGGGTAAATTTTTTTGTCCAGTCGCATTCTGCTGGACAGCTAGAAATATATTGGCAAAACATGGTGGTGAGAAATCGTTGGACTCTTCTGTCTTTGTTTTTGAAACTACAATTTTCTATTATACGCTTATAATTCTCTTTATATGCTTATATTGTTTCTAGCATTCTCTCTATTTTCATTAGTGATGCTTTAAATGCTTTACTTTTTTCTACTGGTGTGCTGGAAAAAGTATAGTTCTCCCCCCCCCAATGAAATAGTATATTATACTGTAAATCTAAACTCTAAATTCAGCCGGAGGCTGGCTGAGTTATTTCTTAGTTTTTGTATGAAATTCTCAGTCAGAGCCCCAAATAAGAGGAGGTCTTATATTTTATTTCTTTTATTTAAATATTTATCATTAATTTAATTTTAATTTTAATTAGTCCAAAGGGGCAATTTGCCCTGAAGGACTATTAATTTCATTTTGGCATTTTGCGTTGGAAACCTTAAAAGGCTGTTTTAAAAGTCCAATTTGAATTTTGGAATTTGTTTTATTTTTGATTTCATATTTTGTAAAACTTTAACAAATTTTTGATTAACTCAAGGATTTCAAAGCGAGCAATGGCAGCGTTGTACAGAAAAAACATTTTTATATCCAGTGCATGAGACTGTGTATCGAAAATTCTAAAGATATGCTCAATTTAAAATTATTTTGCGATACTGCTCTTGAACTGAATTTTATGGTTTAAGTGAGAAAAACATGATATTTAATAAATAAAGGTAACACACAAGATGTTAAAAAAATGCCTCTTAGGATGTAATTTAAAATCTGGAGCCTTTCAATTTTTCTTTTAGTTCCCCCCCTCCCACACACAGTGTACCGTTATTTAATTATTTTTATTATTGGTTATTTTACTTATTTAGTTTTCCCCTTCTTCCTGATGGCCTTTCAGAGGGCTCCCGCACTTCTGATTTTAGAAATTAAGCCCTGCCATTTATTTCAATTGCATAATTTTGCATAAATTTTCATGCAGGACAATTTGGCTCATGCTGAAGAACAGAGACAAGTTTTGTGTCCCTCCATCCAGTTCAAAATCTCCTCTTGTTCTTACAAGACATGAAAACTCACTCTCCTAGCCTTCAAAGTATACTACTTATGGAGGAAGGAGAAAAAAATAATCTTGAAATATATACTAAAATCATTCATTTTTAGAATATTTACAATTTATTTTGACTTAAAAACATAATCACCATTTCTAATAATATACTGAAACCTAAACATACATATTCCAGTTTTTATCCAGTTACCAGATGCAAAGTAATAATAATGCGACAACTATTTTTTACTTTAACATGGAAATAACAATGTTAGTTTATAACAGGAGGACAGGCTCTACTGGAGTGCCAGTGCCTTTCTACAACATCAAATTGTCTATGCTCTTCAGAATGCCGAGGCAATACTAGAACTTACCCTTTAGAGGGGAGCTAGCAAAATAAGTTCCTCTTCAAAGAATGTTCAGAAGCCCTCTTCAATAAGGTGATGCAATCTATGTTCTTCAGACTGTTAAAGCAATGCTAAAATTGATATAGCTACTTGACATTCGAGTCAAGAATAACAGTTGTATATCATAAATTAGTCAAAAAAGCTCAGGAATGTTACAGCCAGCTTTATGTTGCTCACATACTTAGATCAAGCTGATAAATCCTTTAGATACAAATAGTCACAGGTAAACATACCAACTGCATTTATTTTCAAACATTTAAAATATACATTTAAAATAAGAATATAAATTTATAGAATGAATAAATATTAATTTTTAGAGTGAGTAAATCAATCAGGTTTTAATCCTGATTTTGCTTACCCTAAATATACCAAGGTAACATGTTGCATTATTTACAACAGAATAATGCCTTATTTTAATACAATTTCAAAATTAAGTAAAAATTATTTAAAATTATTACTAACTGTCTTATTTCTCTTTTCAGCTAAAAGACATAAAACTTTAAATAAAGATGCTAAGGTATACACATAACGCCAATTTGCATCAACGTCCTTCCAGTGACCAGTATTGATTTTTTCCCATGCTAAGTCTAATACAATTTTAGCATTAATAGAGCAATCATGGAGGTGACTTGAAATATCTAAAAGAAAGAAAATTAAATTATAATTTGTGATAATTTTGCTGAATTTGCTACCACTAATGGTAATTAACTTAAAAAAAAAAAAAAAAAAAAAAAAAAAAAAAAAACTGCTTTGAAAATACAAAACTGAGTAAATGTAAACATGTTTGAATAAAACAGTTACCATGGTCAAATACAGCAGTTAGTTCTTTTACAATTATTTATTTTCCTGATTTGCAGTAAAGTGTGTTAATACAACGTATTAAATTCAAATTTTTCAGGTAAATTTCATAGTAAATTTTACTGACCTTTCCATTGTAATGTTAATAATTTGGTGCTTATGCAACCAGCTTGATGCAATTTGACATTTTTTCACAGATGGAAAGGTAAAAGTTATATTTATTGGGTGTAAGTTGGTGGCTTTCCTGACTTTTTTTTAAAAAAGATTTCCAAACTATTGATATTTATCATAAATCAATAAATATTATCAATATATGAAATGAATAGCAATATGAAATACAAATTTTAATTATTAAGTAACGATTAGATGATATGTCAAAGAAATAAAACACATTATTTACCAAATCTTTCTGTAATTTTTTCTACTGTTCTCCTCTCCAAGTACACAGCGATCTGTTTTCACTTTAAAAAGCAACAGAGAATTGCAGAAACTCAGCATTGCACAAACCTTGGCTATCTACCAAAAGCATTTCCTTATTATTCCATTTAGAGATTTTGCAGCAAAATTCTGTATCGCTGCTAATATTCTACCGCAGTTTCTTCCATTGCTTGCAAATTTCATAAGTGCATATTTTAAAATAAAGTTTACGGCAAAAAATATCATAAATAAATGTAATGCTCTAAAAACCATTAGATTATGTAATGTTATAGAAACTTTTATATAATCTAATGTTATAAAAACCACCAGAACTTGGAATAAAACACCCCCCCCCCGGGAAAAAAAATCATAGGAAAATGGCGACGTTAGTTGACTACAGGATTATTGACGCACAACTGTGTGAAGAATGTTATGTGCATGGTTGCCAGAGTTTGGCCTATTCTGAAAATTTGGCGACTTCTACTAAGGCGGTTGTGATAATAAGTAAATAACAAATAATTTTACTTTGAATAAATACTTTAAATACAAATATTCTCTTTACATAAAACAATTACAATATGTTGATATTAATAGTCAGTTCATTTATGACAACTTCTTTCATAATTCACAGTAAATTATGTAAAAGATAAATACTAAATTCAAATTTTTTCAGCTAAAATTTGTAATAGTAAAAATTATATCTATAGAATAAATTGTACTATAATAATGCAAAGCTTTGCTAATTATTTTTGACTGAACTATTAAAAAATTAAACAAAGAATATTAAGATATTAAATTAAGTAGTATGTTTATTTCTGAATTAAGGGGCATTATTGCATAATTTTAGAGACTAACTACCGAATCCAAACTGTCAATTAAAATAGAAAATCTTTCATATCACAAGTGCTAAGATGTTTTTAGTTATGAATCTTGAAAAAAAAAATATTTAATATTTCATATTTATACAAAAACATATAAAATACAAAATTATATTAAAAGAAATTATTCAATTTAAAAACCAAATGATGCATTAACTCTCAAGTTGCAAAAATATACCGTAATTACTTGAAAATAAGACACTTTTTTTTTTTTTTTTGCTATGCTTTTGCTCTGAAATTTGGCAGAATCTTATAACCGAGTATTTAAATAAATCATACTTCAGAATAATAGCAAAATGTTCCTTTAATCTGATTGGACAAGAGATGTTACACTGCAACACAATTACATAAACACAAAATTAATTTTTCAGATGATATACTTTAGATTCCTGGAAGAGATGCAGCCAGATTAAAAATCAGGAATTAAAAGGATAAATTAAAGTTAGTAATTCTGAGCTTCATATTTTTTTATCTTTTATATATATATATATGTGTTTTCTCTTTTTTAAAAAATACGGAAGTAAGGTTTTATTTTTTTAATATAATGGAATGTCTTAGAACAATTCAAAAAGGCTAGTTGCCTTTATACACAGAACGGAGGCCTCTTTAATTAACCTTTAACCACTGATATAAATACATCAGTTAATTCAAGTGAATACATTGGCCAGATGGAAATGCTTGTATTCAGAGAAAGCCATTGGGGGTGTGTCCCCCAATTTTCTATGAAATATGGAAATAACAGCAAAAACCATAATTTCAATAATAATAAAAAATAGTTATGCTATAAAATGTTGGGATTTATGATCATTTAAAATAAGTAACAGGCACATGAAATTTTTACATCTGTGATATTGTGTGAAAAGTTTTAAAAAGCTTTCCTTGAAAAAATATGCTCATGTGAACTCTAAGATACAAAGAAATTTGAACAGAGAATTATAAAACTCTAAAATATTATCAAAGTTTTTATTTTGCAATTATTTAAATGTTTTGGTTATTTAATTTGGTCAAAATTTTTTGGTTGTTTTCAAATTATGTTTTTCTTCATTTGCTAGTGATTAGTGCTTTAACTCTTAAAAAGCTTTTCTCTCAAAAAGTCTTTTTCTCTTTGAAGGAGAAGGGAGAGGGAGAATATGAAAGGTAAACAAATAAATTTAAATTAGCAATAACCCCCAATTCCTGATTTTAATTTGGGTTCCTCCCTTATCTATTCTAAAAATAATACCTTTTTTTGGATTGCATCATTTCTAGATTACTCCGATCACAACTTCTATTAGATATATGACAACAATGATGACACAGCTAATTCGGAACTTAAAATTTCCTGAATCAAAACTTTTCTCTTAATAAGCTTCCATTCTGGATAATTGCTTATGTTGCTTCTGCTTCTCTCAGCACAATGATACTGCCACATTGCTTTCTTCTTGCTGCTATAGTATCAAAAATTTAAATGTTTCAAATGGGCACAATTAGAGTGGCGAGTGAATTGTGACCACAAATGTCAATTGAAATAAAAATGAATATATTTAATCTGCCTCAGCTGTCAAGTTTCCTGTCCATTATGGATCAACATCTTCAACATCAACACTATCAATATTTCCTACATCATTACATCTAAGTCTACAACAACATTACATATACACGGTGAATCTGAACAAGTGGCCAAAACTTTAGGGAGTGATAGAAGGTAGCTATATGAGCAATATTCGTGATAGAATATATAGTCAGAATGCAAGTGGTGATAAGTTAATGGGTAGTTTTTCACTATCACATTTAAAGAATTAACACAAGAATGAGAGGAGATACTTCAGGAAATATTTTAACAGAATATTCTCACAGAAATTGCTCAAAAGACCTTTCATTGGCTATAATACAGGCTTCAAACTTGCAAGATAGGGATTAACACACATTTGTGAGAAAACTAGGCATTTCCCAATTACTGACAGCAGCAACAGTGATCCTCGCAATCACATCCATATCGGTTTCAATGGGGCTCTCATAGATTAGGCTTTTCATATAGCCCTACAGGAAAAAGTCCAAACACAAGAGATCCAGTAATCTTCATGTCTAAGCTATGGAACCACCTCAACCAATCCACTATCCTGGGAACTCTGCATCTAAAGTGTTCTGCATATCTAAGCTGAAGTGTACAGGTGCACCATCATCCTGGTACCACATTCTCAACCTGATGGGTGTTGAAATTGGAAGCAGCAGCTCTAGCAACACTTCTCGTAGGAATGTGTGATACGATTTGCCATCCAGACAGTGTGGCAGAAGGTATGCGCTAACCAAATGGTCATAGAGGATCCCTGCTCAAAAATTTATGAAGACTGCCACTGGAACGAATGAGGATGTGTAGCACGCAGGTTCATAGATGCTTATGTGTGCGAGTGGTGGGTATTAAAACACCCTCACGAGTAAAAGTGCACTTGTCCATAAACAGAACATGCACACCGAAATCCAGCTGCTCTGTATTCTGATGAAGGTACCAACATGCAAAATTGATCTGTGGCTGATAGTCTGTGGGTGACAGTCTGCTTGTACCTTTTGTGTCTGATAGGGATTCATTCCTTCCTCCTGTAGCAAATGGCACAATCTTTTGAGACAAGTTTACAACACGAGAAACTGCTCAAGTGCTACATCCCAGTTGAGCTTTCAACCTACACAGAATGCCCTCTTCCAAGTTGTGGTGTCCTGACACTACTTACATGCCCTGTGTCTTGCTTAGCTGCGGTGAAGGATCCCGTTTCGCACAACTGCAGATGCAAATGCTTGAATGTTTTCTGATCTGGAGCGTGTCTCATCGGAAACCGGTCCTGGTAAGTCTCTATGTCTCACTTGCATTTGTATCCACTGCACCGTACACGAAATGAACATTGGCCATTTCATGGTTCGTGTAACCAGCCATCCTCTCGGTAATCCATAGTAAAAAATGCCATGAAAAGAATCTTGAATCTAAAACTAGCAAGATGTCTATTACCCCAAGGCTATATTACATAGTCCAAACAGAACATAAAAAAGAGAAAAGAATCCATTTTGGTCTGACAAAAAATGGTGCATGGTACAATGAGAAAAGTGAGTTGGGTTGAGGCTCAAACCTACGATGTGAAGAACTGCATGACTTGATTAAACTGGATAAGCTATTGGAGCACTGGCATGATTTTGAAAATTAATCATCTTCTGCAAACTTCAAAATGATTTTTAGTGAAATCTGGATAGATTCAAAAGCAACTAGGATTTTTTCAGTTGCAGAGACAGCTTTTGTCAGTTTTTGAGCAATGTGAGTGATACTGCTTGTTAAATGTAAGACTTTAGGATTTTTAAAAATTTGGAGAATATCCGAAATTTCATTTCCAGAGTAAGGGTTTTCTTAAGTGTTTCGCTGTATGTGAGCCACTTAGTATTTCCTAAGTTCTCATTAATTTCATTAAGATTTAGAGGCAATCTTAATGCAGATTCAGAGGCAGGAAGTCATCTTTCTTGGGAATTTAGGCTGCTTTTTCTTTTTCTTGAATTTTCTGAAATCTTTTTGGTATATGACACAACCT